GACCAGTCTCTTGTTTGCCCCAACTGACATCACCATTTCAGGCAGCTGTGCTGTTTACGCAATTATCACTGATTATTTCCAACAAACAACCTGCAGACAGGGTTTTTCTCAATGAGTCATGTTAAATAAAGATAAACCCCTTGACTGGGATTTTTTAGGAAGCTGCAAGACACATTGAATAGTGACAATTCTTTTGTCTAACTTCTTATCTATTTAGAGGAATTCCAAACTATTCCAGTGGTTGCTAAGCCATTGTCTTTCACAGTTACTGTGGTTCAGAGATGTTGGTTTTCAAGGCTACCACAGAGCTGGGCAAAGGCAGATGGGATCCGGACCAGTTAAAATACTACAAAGCTTATTGTTCTCATAGAGACTCAAACATTTTTCTTGAATACCTGTTCCTCAAATTGTTGCAATTCTTTGGTTAATTTCTGGAGTTTAAAAAAGTTGATTTTGACAATTTCTGCCAGTGTTCTCATTGCCCTTTATGGAGGATCAGAATTTCAGAGATCTTTACTTCACCATTCTTGAAATGCTTTTCCAGGATTTCTTTCGATAGAAAATGAAATACATAAGATTTCTCTTAATGCAATCAGCATATACTGAATTCACTTAGAACAGCAGACATTTCACCTATGATATACCATGCAAATGAGAAAATTGTTTGGCTTCGCAAATTTCATAGAATATCAGCACTGGTTTCCAGAGTATGGCATCCACCTCCAGTAAGCATCACAGATTAGAACACCAGAGTTCAAGCTCAAATTTATCTGCTCTTCAGTTCCACCTGAGCAAAGAGGATCTAAGGGACAGATTCTTCATTAATAACTGCCAATAAACAGTGTTTCCTACCCCTTCAGACCCACAGCCACTTGTTATTACAAATATTTTTAAATGCCCTTTTCATTATTCTAACAAATGTATAGACAGACGATATAACTTACCTTGGGCATTTTTCTGAATCAGTATGTCTAATTATAACTTAGGGGAAATAAAAGGAATCAACTTCTGGTGATATGTAATTCAATATGAAAACAACTGGTCACAACTCCTGAAGACACAATAAAGTAACTTGCATATAGGTATATATAATTACCATGAATGAGGCCACTGCTGATGCAGACCAATGCAGCTGCCATGATTTTGAATTCCAACTCAAATGCCATGAGCAATGCTGCCACTGGTGACAAGAATATTTACCAAATACCCTTGGTAAAGTACTGAACAAAGAGTACAACCTTCTCTTATGTGATAGTTGCATTTTTGGGTAAGTATGGCATATCTACAACAAATGTAAATTATAGCTGATACACATAAAATGGACTTACAATGTAGGCTCAGATAATTACTGTCAGTGCTCACCAGCTAAAGACCATGAGGAACAGAGCTATGGTCACACCAAGTTGGGTTTATTAGCACTCTTTGTACAAGGGAGACCCCACACCATGTGGGATGCCTCAGTATGAGGGTGTTAGGAAGGACTTATTCTAGGATTTGGGTTTGTGTTAGGCCCTTTCTAGAAGGGTTCCACAAATCGTTAGGTTTACTCTGGACTGAGGACTTTGAGAAAACAAAGTAATTCTACAATCTAATCTGGGAGGTAGCACAACTAATTGGCAAAGCAGCAGCAGTCACTCATGTAAGCCAGGAAGGGGGGTGTTTGGTCATTTTTTTGTGGCTTACACAGTATTGTTTCTATACTCCAACATGATTGTAGTGTCCTTATTTTCGCCTTGCTCTATCATGGTCACAAAATGGCTTTGTCAGATGTTAGTGTTGAATAAAATTATTTATGTTCAACAGAACGCCATAGCCTTAGCTGTTAGGTTAAAGGTCAGCTTCCAGCAGACAGCTGTGGGAGGAGGCATGCTTTCTTTTTCTCATTATAAACAAAATTTTCATGTAATTGTTTAGTGGGAGATACAGAAGTTGTCAGGGATGCAGGACAATATGGGGCTGTAGAGAACTGTCCTATGCTCTACAAGTGCCTGGCATCCCTAGGCTCCACACGTTAAAATATCACCCAGCAAAGTGACCAATCACTGTGTTAACCAACCCCTCTCCCCAAATTACAAAAACGCCCTCCCTTGGGGGTGCACCATCCCCGAGAACCACTGCTGTGAATATCCTAAATCCAATCCCCACATTATATTGAAGAATATATATATTAAGAATACATCAGACTACACCTTCATAGAACCATCTTACCCAGTTGCTATTGAATGGCTTTTAGCCAACCCAGCAGCCGGTGTCCTCTACATAAAACTTCACTTGAGAAATCTGTAGTCAGCACTGCTAGTTGCCTATCTAATGTCCCTTTCTTTTTCCCCTACTAACAAAATCTCACATTTATGCAAGACAGCAATGTACCTACCGAGGTATCTGCTTTTCCAGACTTCCTGACACCTGAGTGACATCATTTTGGCTAACAAGATGTGAGAAGCAGCAGGTCTTCTATAACTTCTGAGAAAGCTTTTTGCTTTTCTGATCAAAGAGGACAGATGCAACTAGAGCCTATAATCTTCTTCCTCAAAAATAGATGAGTCATCTTCAGCTGTGACAGTCATCTTGTGACCCTGAGGCGATGAGCATGGAGACAAAAACTCACTCTCTAAAGAACTGTTCAGTAACCATATCAACACACTAGCAATAGTCCACTTCCAGACTTCCTTTGTGGAAAAATACACAGACCCTTTTTTTTATCTAAGCCACTATTATTCGTAGGATTTTCCATTACTTGTGGCTGAACAAATTATTAATAGAGGAAATCAAGTTACAACAGACATCTGATGGAATAAAAAAATATATATTATGTTAAATATATTATGTTAAGCCTTTAATATAATACTAAATTGAACAAAAAGCAGTGCTCAAACAACGTGTGGGAGAGGCGTTTGAGTGAAATCTTCATTTTTCCATAGCAGAAAGTCAACAGCTGATGTATCAAGTTGAAAAGCCAAGAAATATGTAAGTAATGAAAGAATATTATTTAGAGGTATGGAAGTAAATACCGCAAAATATAAAAACAAAAGCAGTTGAAGACATTTTCTTCTGGAAGCAGAATTGAGTGAGATAAGATTGTTGCTTTTCTTTGTAGCCTCTGTAATACTTAATTTTCTGACTCCCTTCTTCACCCAGAAATGACACTGGTCACTTTTACTCTCATTTCATAACTACTCACATGGGCTCAATTAATTAAGGGAGCCGGGAAATGTAGAACAAATGGAATACTTGGTGAACATTACTATCTCTTAACACATGCAATCTTCTGTAAATTATCTTACAGGGCACCTGAGTGGCTCAGTTGGTTAAGTGTCCAACTTTTTTTTTTTAAGATTTTATTTATTTGAAAGAGAAGAGCACATGAGCTAGAGTAGGAGCGAGGAGGAGGGGCAGAGAGAGAATCAGACTCCTGCTAAGCAGGGAGCCCCACACAAAACTCGATCCCACAATCCTGGGATCATGACCTGAGCCAAAGGCAGACACTTAACCAACTGAGCCACCCAGACACCTAAGCGCTGGACTCTTGTTTTCAGCTCAGGTCATGACCTCAGGGTCCTGGGACTGAGCCACATGACAGGCTCCATACTCAACAGGGAATCTGCTTCTCTCTCCCTCTCCCTCTCACTCTGCCCCTCCCCGTTTGCATCCACTCTCTCTAAAATAAATAAATCTTTTTAACTGCACTACCAGGTATTTACACAAAGGACACAAAAATACAGATTCAAAGGGGCACATACACACCCCAATGTTTACAGCAACACTATCAACTATATAGTTTCCAAATTATGGAAAGAGCCCAATGTCCATCAACTGATGAACGGATAAAATAGATGTGGTGTATAGACAATGAATATTACACAGCCATAAAGAGTGAAATCTTGCCATTTGCAACAACATGGCTGGAACTAGAGGGTATTATGCTAAGTAAGTCAGTCAGAAAAAGACAAATACCAAATGATTTTACTTATAAGTGGAATTTAAGAAACAAAACAGATGAACATAGGGGAAGGGGAGAAAAAAAAAAAGGGGAGAGGAAAGCAAACCGTAAGAGATTCTTAAAGACAGAGAACAAATTGAGGGTTGATGGAGGGGGTGGAGAATGGGTTAAGTGGGTGATGGGTATTAAGGAGAGCACTGGTTGTGATGAGCACTGGGTGTTGTACGTAAGTGATGAACCACTGAATTCTACACCTGAAGCCAATTTTACCATACATGTTAACTAGAATTTAAATTAAAAAACTGAAATTAAAAAAAATGAGATCATACACACACAAGAAATTTGATGAGCTCTAAAGGGTTATACAAATTTAAAAGGATCACAGAACCTATGGTGAAATTAATATGCTATCACATGTGCATGCATGCGCGCACACACACACACCTTTGCCTATTTATTTCAGAGGTGTGGTCACAGAATAGGTACTCTGGGAGCTGTAAAATGCAATGTTGCTTTCATCTGAATGGCACCATGCAGCCAGTTCACCTGCACTCAAGGCTTGGGTCCACATACCCTTCCCTTGGACTCAGGGGGACCCTAGTGACTGTGTCAACCACCAGGGAAGAGCAGAAGTAATGTTATGCGGATTCTCAAACCAGTCATAAGAACACCACAGGCTTCTCTTGCTCTTAGAATCCAGTTGCTAGGTTGGGAAGAAGGCCAAAGAAGCCTACACAGAGACCACACAAAGGGGTCACAAAGGTAGGTGTTCCAACAACAACCTAGCAGAGGTCTCAGCTAACAGGCCACATCAACTTCCAGGCCTGGGGCTGAAGACACCCCGTAGAGTTTCCTGCCCCTAGCCAATGTGTAAAGACAGGCCTTCAAATCTTCCCCGCTGAGCCCCAGATCCGTTTTTCTATATAGCAGAAAAAAGCTGACCCCACCAGGCTATTTCCAAATTCTTGTCCCACAGCAAATTCCTGTCCCACCACTAAATGTTTACGCAGCAGCGTGCCATCTTTAGCACCTATAACAGTAGCATAATTACCACACAGAGGAAAGAACAAAATACATGTTTACTGAATCATTACATCTCAAATGCTATACTTAGAGAAACAATCCTAGGGGATGCTAAAAATATACTGTATTAATAAGAATTCCATTAGGCTATAGCAACAGAAAAGCTAAAACAGTTAACACTTCAACAAGCAAGAAGTTTGTTCCTCACCTAAAACTTCCGACGCTGCAGCTCAGGGCTGCTATTCCGGTCAGGGAGGGCTCAGACAATCCCTACCTTATTTCTGTTATTCATAAAAAGAGGCTTCCACCCCACAGTCCAAGATGACTGCTCAAGCTCCATCTATTATGTCTACATCTCACCTAGCAGACAATACCATTGTCTGGTATTTTTTCAAGATTTTTTTTTTTTTTTTTTAATCTAGCTAGCTATCTGACGTGGAGGAGCAGAGGGAAAGAAACTCAAACGAACTCTCGCTGAGTGCAGAGCCAGAGGCAGGGCTCGATCTCATGACTCTGAGGTCATGACCTGAGGTGAAATCAAGAGTCAAGAGTGGACACTTCACTGACTGAACCAGCCAGGTGCCCCTAGACCCCTCTTTTTCAGAATACTTTCTGCAGGTACATCCATTGGCCAGAACATGCTCATGTGGCCACATTAAGCTACAGCAAGGCAATCTGAAGAAAGCTCTCTATTGCCATGTCCCTGCTGATAAATGTCCTCCCTGGAGGATGGAAAAATGGACTCTGGGAAATAAGTCTGCCACATATTCCAAAATTCAATTCATATTTGGCTTAAGATTACAGTTTCAAATAACGACACAGCTACCTCAGGAACCATACCAGTGTGGCCCCTGTCAGACTCTCAGCTCTAAGGATTTAGTTCAGAGCTTTCTGATCAAACACATGTCTTTACAAGATTATCAACTTTCCACACCAGATAGGTATAAGCAAAATGGCAAATAAGCACTTAAATTAATGAGTCTTGAGAAAGCAAAAGACATTTAGTGACAAATAATTCCTCTAAAAACAAAAACATATCCTGGTGGGTAATCTGTGTTTCCTTAGACAAGGCACTCGATCAACCTAAAGTCCCATCTCATCAGCTGTAAAAAGGTATCACATGTAAGTGGTTTGTCGTGAGGATGAAAGATTACACGTGTTAAAGTGTTTTGTAAACAGCAGTTTTATACAAATATAAAGTTATGAACCTTCAAAGCTATCACTCCAATAAAGACACTTATTCAATTAAACATCTTTTTAGATTTTTTAACAATGTATAAATACATTCCACAAAATAATCTGTTGGTTAAAAGACTCCAACAAAGTTTACAGAACCAAGAACAGAATTTGTAGACTCCTACAACCACTTGTAGATTGTTACATATATTGCTTTAAGAAATACCATTAATACAAATGCATGATTTACAATATCCCCATTATAAGCAAGAAAAAATAGATCCATAAAATGTTTCTTAGGCATTTATTATGCCAAGTATTTAGATGATTATTCTCACTATGACATAAGAATAATACTCTTTTAGTGATAAAAGATAGAATTCATTAGGCCAAAGACCACTGAAGAGCTTCCAGGAAGTTCCAAAGTAAAATCTGGCTCTCCCTTCCAAAAAATAAATAGAACAGCAGCAATCTCTAAGGTATCCCCTAAACATAAACCATGAAAATTCCATTTATATTAATTGGGCCTTAAGTACATGAGTTATTACAAATAAAAATAAAATTTACAAACTAGTTAACCACTGGCCCAAATTTGGTTTGTACCTGCCTGTGAGCGCCTAAGATGAGAAGTTTCATCACAAAGTATATATTATGTTGTAAAATTAACCATTACCTCTAACTTACACATAAGCCAAAGTGCTCACTCTTACCATGGAAGCAAAATGTTCTTCTGGCAACAATCTACAGAAATAATATGTACACATCTAGAGTTCTGAGACAGACCGAGAACATCCTCCTACATCCTACTGGATCCGATTACAAAGGTCTCCCTTACAAATGTCCATGAACACACTTTCAGTAATCCGGGATATACAGATTACGAGGACTATGTGCATACATATGTAAGTCGTAAACCAGTTTTGACAATGTTCCTGGCAACACCATATTTTCAAACCCGAAATGCTAGAAAGAAAACGAACAGTTGATGTGAAAACCACCTTTCCATTTTTTAAAGTAAATTTTAAACTGGAAAAAACAAACCCAATGCTCCTCTTTGCAACATGTACTGAGTTCCAAAAGGTTCAGAGTCAAGAATCTCTTCAGTTGCTCCCAGTGTAACAGAACACAGGAGCTTGCTCGCACTCTCCTCAGGAAGTCTGGTCTTCTCCAGCATTCTGCAAAAGAGAAAGAAATCCTTATTGTAAGTGAGAACTCTTTTACTTGGTGAACCAGACTTCAAAGCACGAGGAAAACATTCCCTATCCATCAGCAGAGCCAGCTGCTACACTACCTTACAGTGCATGGCCCAGTTACATTAAAAATTCTGGACATGCCAGAGAAGCAATCGATGGTTCCACCGAGACATCCAGCAAGCCAATGTCATGTTAGCAGAGCACCACCAGGTGCCACGTAACTCCACTAACCCGACCCATGTTATGGCAGGGTCAAGGTTCAATTTCCCTGTGCTCAATGTCCCTCCCTGCTTTACAAACACTAAAAACCCAAAAGAAAAAAACTAATAAACACATGCTTGATGGGCACCTGGGTGGCTCAGTTGGTTAAGCTTCTGCCTTCAGCGCAGGTCAGGAACTCAGGGTCCTTGGACAGAGTCCCACATCAGATGCCCTACCCAGTGGGGAGTCTGCTTCTCCCTCTCCCTCTGCCTCTCCCGTTCCTGCACTCTCTCTCTCAAATAAATAAAATAAAATCTTTAAAACACACACACACACACACATTTGACAATAACCACACAGTGGACCTCAGCAAAGGTCTATCTGGGACTGTGCAAAAATCCCTCAGGAGAAGAATCATGTCCCTACAAGACTATTCGTTTTCTGTACTTTTTATCATTTATACAAGAGAAACTGTACAGTGGAATGAAAGAACAATAAATTTCAAGAGAAAACAGGTGGGTTAGGCCCTAGCTAACTATCACGTGTTGGCGGTATATCCTTAAGAAGTCACTCAATCCATCAGGGTACCAGCCATCTAAATGTAGATGTAGTTCCTGGACCAGAAGCAACAGCACCACCTGGGAACTGGCTAGACATGCCAATTATGAGACCCCACCCCAGGTCAACTTTGGGAGTAGGACTCAGCAAACTTTCTCTTAGACTTGTGGGTGATTCTTAGGCATGTCCAAGTTTGAAAACCATTGTCTGGGGATCCCTGGGTGGCGCAGCGGTTTGGCGCCTGCCTTTGGCCCAGGGCGCGATCCTGGAGACCCGGGATCGAATCCCACATCGGGCTCCCAGTGCATGGAGCCTGCTTCTCCCTCTGCCTATGTCTCTGCCTCTCTCTCTCTCTCTCTGCGACTATCATAAATAAATAAATTAAAAAAAAAAAAAAGAAAACCATTGTCTGGTATTATCTGCCCAACCTACTGCACTAAACAACTGGGAGGTATCATACAAAGTAGCTAGTCAATTTCTCCCAAGCTATTTAACCATTACTATTCACCTAAAACCCTGACTTAAATCTTCACACTGGGAAACTAGTTAAAACTTAATGTTCTAGAAAACAAACAAATAAATCTGAGTACTCTAAAACAATCTTTAATGATACAGTCTTATGTCTCTACTTGTTCTTACTATAAATCCTAAAATCATAATATACATTGTCCAAAACTGCTCATTTTAGAGCCACTAGAATTAATGGAAAGCTACTGAACTTAAGGCAAGTTTTTTAAGGCAATTTTTTAAAAACAGATTGTTATCAACAGTAAGTTATCCCTGTGGTTTTAAAATAATTTCAGGGCAGGGTGCCTGTGTGTCTCAGTCGGACTCTTGATTTCAGCTCAGGTCACTATCTCAGGGACGTGAAATCGAGCACCCGCTGAGAGATTCTCTCTCTCCCTCTCCATCAGCTCCTCCCCCCAACATTTTCTTTCTAAAATAATAAATAAGAATAAAATAATCTCTGGGCACTGACAATACATTTCTAGAATGTCCTAAAAGTCAAGAGTAATTAACATAACTTTATCATCATCTCATAGTTAAAAAACATGTGCCTTAAAAAACCTACTTTTTTAAGTATTTCACAAATAGTAAGAAACTCTCTAAGAATTAGAAACTTCATAAAATACTCAATAAGAATTAGAAATGATTCCATCAGTCACTGGCCACATCAAAATTACCCTCACATCCAGAAAACACTTACTTGTCTTAAAAACTGCTTTCCAAGATAAGATGTAGCCATGTTGGTTAAATTCTTCCTGCTGCCCACCTTGCACCTGATATAGCCATACAGGTTGGCACCTTGTAGCACCACACCCATGATAACCACCGCCTGGGAAAGAAAAAATAATCCATGGTTACTGGCCTAAAACTGACCTTTCTCTGTGCCAAAACAAAACACACATATGCCAAAAAACAAACAAACAAAAAGACACCAACAACAAAGCAGATTGTCATGGGAAAAAGAAGGAAAAGGAAGCTCATGGGTGGGGCTTGTGCCAAGGAGACTCCTTAACTTAGCAGAACAGACTTATCTAATACATGCTGAGAACAACACACTCATCATCCACCCAACAAATACTATATTAAACACATATGCTATATAGCAGACCCCATGGCAATGCAGTGGATGAATCGTTCTCTAATATTTTATGTGCATCTGCAAATAAAGATTTATAAAAATTAAATAAATGAGATTCAGAAGAGGCTCAAATGTTAATTATCCCTTTAACAATCATGAGAGAATGGCCAAGAGATAAAGCTCAACAAACCAGGAGCATGCGGAAGGGCATCATCTCTGCTCCAAGCTGACATGTGTGACAACTGGCTTCTGGGGAAGCAAAGCAGAGTAGCAAGGCAGCAATCAACAGGTGTTTGCCTTCTGTGATGAGCAGGGTGCAGGGGGAGGCCTAGGAGGAAACGCACTTTGGCAGAGTGGTTTCTTCCTTGCGGCCACATCTAGGAACCTACAGGTGAGCCCACTAAGAACATTAAAGACTGAGAATAACTCAAGCCTACTTTTTAAATATCATGGAATAAAAGTGCATTAGGACAATGTGAGGAGGTCTCATGGGTGGGCCTCCACCCATGGAGGGGGTGGGCCAAGTTCTTCTGTTAAAGGCCAGATAACAAATATTTTAGGGGGCCAAGGGATCTCTGTTGCAAACACTAACTCTGCCTTTCTGGCCCCAAAGCTGCCACAGACAATACATAAACAAGCAAGGCTAGACTCCAATAAAAAGTTACAAAAACAGGTGTTGGGCTGGATTTGGCCCATAGGCCATCGTTTGCCAACCCCTGCTCTAGAATAAACAACTCCTCAACCCATCGGCTGTTAAAAGGATTACCCAGGAAATATTTCTATCCGTAAAAAGCAACACAGCTAAACAGAGTCTCTCTCTACAATCCAGACTTACTCTCCTTAATCCTTAAGGAGCTGTACAGCTGATTTTAAGGAAGTTAGAGGATTTGAATGTTTAATTAAGGAATAGATTCAAATTCCTAGTAAAAGTAGATTTGTACTTGCTATTTAAAACTTGTGTTTCACAGAAATAAACACATTAGAATTACACAAGGTTACCTAAATAAATATAAAACTATATTTTTATTTAAATAAATCTCTTTCAACTTCTCATGCCTCTCAAATTGGGACACTCCTAATATGCCAGTGATCACCTGAATGCATAGACTGAGCATGAGTCCTGCAACACATTTTAAAATGTATTTATAAGTTAAGCAGACATCTGGTTTAAGATGGTTATAGGAAAGCCAGACATCAAGATCTCTCTATCCCTAATATATAATAGTTTTTTTAAATACACAGGTTTAAAAGAGATTAAAGGCAAACAAGCTGATGCTAATCAATATTTTAAAAGAGGTGGTGGGGGGGGTGCTGGTGGTGAGAGAAAGAGCCAGCTTGGTTTTGCTCTATACAACTCCTAGCTCTAACGGAAATTTAACTGATGATCATTACTCCCAACACCTTAGAGGCAGAAGTTCAAAGTATATAGACAGCTCTGAGAAAAAAAATGCAAAAAGAGACATGACTCCTACCACACAACACAAGATATAAATCCCAGCAGTTTGCCATGAGATGCCCCCTCTGATAAGGAGAAGGAGAAGAAGGACTGGCAATCATTAAGCCCATGTTCTCAGCAGAACAGGGGTAGGAAGAGGTTCCTGGAGAGCCTGAGTGACGACCCTGTAGTCTTCACCCAGGATCCCAAGCCACCTTCTTCTGCATAACCTGTCCCAGTTCTGTTTGAGGGAAGTAGAAACAGTGCTAGAGAAGAACGGGGCTGACTCCCCCATATGGATGATAAGGCTCTAGGGCCTCACAAATGATCTAAAGCACCAGTATGGAGCACATGCCCACCCAGGAGAAAGAACTGCACTATCTAAGAGAAGGCAAAACTCAAGCAAGCAAATAAGTAAGTCTATAACCAACAGAAATCCAAAAGCAGAAGCCAGGAAGAGAAGTGGGAGAAAGAAGTGTGCCATCCTTCACAGCAGGAAACCAGCACATATTCACTACATTTCCTAATCCACGAAAAGAGAGTGTGATACAAACATAAAGGAAGAAAGACCTGCTAGAAAAACTAAAAATACAGAATAAACCTTCCCAACCCCAAGAAAGAATTTATGTGCATATACAACGAAAAAAAAAAAGACCCTATATAGCAAAATAGAGACAAGAAAATATTAAAAATACAGGGAAAAACATAAAGCCAAAATATACCTGATATCAGTAAATGTTAAAGTCAACTATGAAAAAACAAGATTCATGGTTTGGGTCAAGTGACAGATTATATTTTCCAAAGATGTAGCAATAATACCTGTCCCACATGCTTTTCTAGAACCTCATCAACCTACAGAGCTTATTTCCCATTCCCTTGAATGAGGACAGGTGGCAAAAGTGATGATTTCTGAACCTAGATTGTTCCCATGGCCTGAATTGTGTCTCCCCAAAATTCTAATGTTGAAGTCCTAATCCTAGCACCTTAGAATGTCACTGTACTTGGACACAGACTTTTAAAAGAGGTAATAAAGGTAAAAATGAGGCCACTAGGGTGGACCCTAATCCAGTATGACTAGTGTCTTTGTAAAAAGAGATTAGGATGGACGTGCATAGAGGAAAGACCACGTGAAGGAAAAGATGGCCATCCACAAGCCAAGGACAGAGGCCTCACAAAGAAGAAATCAACCCTGCCAACATCTTGATCTGGGATTTCTAGCCTCCAGAACCGAGAAAATGTTCTGTTGCTTAAGCCCCCTAGAATGCAGTACTTTGTTATGGCAATTGTAGCAAATAACACAGCTGTAAAAGGCAACTCACCCTCTGAGCTGAGACACTCCGCATTAGAGCTATGACCCTCCAAGGAAACAGTCTAACTGCCATGAGAGCCACCATGCTGTGAGGAAGCCCAAAATGGCCTTGTGGTGAGACAACGTGGAGAAGCCACAAGCCCTCATGAAGAGATGCCTTAGCAGCCTCCAGCCACTGCCTAGCTGCAACCACATGGACCCCAACCCACAGTCTCCCAGGCAAATCCTCTCCAAGCTCCTGAACCAGAAAAACAGTGAGAGATAATAAAACAGCTCTTATTTCAAGCCACTACATCCTGGGAAGATTTACAACATAAGCAACAGACAACCAGAATAAGTTACCAGCTAATATTTTCAGAAAAGCCCATTCTGTTAGTTCCAAACCAAGCTAACCATTTTTGTTTGGCATTTATTGAACACCCCCATCCAACAAGATAATACTGCAATAAATATATGGTGACCTCTGTACAAGGCAGTTGTTAAATCAAAAACTCTGTTAGGCACTTGGGGAATCAGTGAAATGGGATCTTTAAGAGGATTCTACTCTCCAGTTCAGAGAGCAAGGAGAGTTGGGGACTAGAACTTGGGAAATGTGTGATGGAGCTGCCTATTCAAGAGAGGTCCCTAATGTTAACATAGGTGGTTGCTTCTGATGATTATTCATCAGTCTTCCTAATGAATCAGTCGGTACATCCTCACTGATACTCACCAACCACTTCACTCGGAAGGAGAAAAGCGCGCTAAAGGCAAATATCACCCACAGCACAGGACAGGCAATAAGTCCTAACCAAAAGATTCTTGATTCGGCCTCAGAAACTGTTTTACTCTCTTGAGCAGATGCCTAAAAAAGAACATGAACTTAATAAACCAATATTTTAGCACTTATCAGTAAAAAGTTTAACATTTTTAATTAAAAATACCTTAATTTAAAATTCAAATAAATTAATACAGATGATTCAAGTCCCAAGTTAGAACCCCCGCCCCCCCCCCAAAGGAGAGTTAACATATTTACCACTATTTAATTCTAGGAACTAGCTTAAATGTGCTTTAACTCAAGAATTTTGTATTTTCAGTTCAGAATGGACAGTCTGTCATGACCCAAGATGGTAAAGGTTGTTTCTGACAGGCTTCTGTTCAATTCTTCTTGCACTCTGTTTATTCATAAGAAAGCTTTGAATCGCACCATACGAGGTAATGTTCAAGGCAATGAAGGCTACAGTCACCCTGGAGACTAAAAAGTCAAGTCAGGGACCAGAGAAAGAAATGGAATCAGGGGATTTTGGACAATGACCAAAATGTCTTAGCAATACCAAGAAATTTTAAAGGGTGGTAAGCTGCTTCCATATAGAGTAGTAATATAAAAGGAATATTACTGAGCATAATACTGTGTTCTCAGAAGTGTTGTCAAGGCCTTTCCAAGCAGAAGGCAAACAACTTTATCAGTAGTGTCTCCAGGAATTCTGTCCTCTGCCTCCCAGGCTGACTTCTCCAAACTGAATGTTCGCTACAGATAAGCAGGCCAACCCAAAACAGATCAGCCTCCCTGAGGGTTCCTGAAGGCAGAAGTTTGAAGAACCCTGTTCTGGTTGACTCAGACTTTCTATCTACTTATAATCCCTCTTCTTTTCTTTTTCCTGCCCACATGTGGGAGTGAACCATGGGAGCAAGAACAGAAAAAGGTGCTGGAAGCAGTTATCCGCTGACAGGGAGAGATCCCTGGAGACACCAGGCACAGCCACACAAAGCTAAGAGACCACAGAGATCATTTAGCAGCAGCCCCTGATAAGCAGCTTAGCACACAGTACAAACTCTGACCCCAAATCCTTTCTCAGAGGCTTCTTTCCTGTATGTGCCTTACTTCCAACCTCAATTAGACAGAAAACGCAGATAGTTTGAGGCCGTCTGGTTTAGTGCTGACATGCCAAGCGATCCGGTTAGTACTTTTCATCGTGAATCCCCCACCCAAAAATATTCAAATGTAATCTACACATAACTTATTGAATGACATTTTGGAAAAAGGGGGGGGGGATTTACCTTCCTGGACTCAAACACCCAATGGCTTTTTCCATCTTCATCTATATGATTCCACCAACGCAGACCAACCATGAGTCTACCGGTGACATTCTGATAAAGAATAACATACACACATTTTAAAAGCATTGTTTAAAAGACCTACCATAAGGTCATATCTTCGGCTTTTCCTCCATAATACCCAGTTAACAAAGACCACCAGGTAGGCCTGGACATAAAAAATAAAGAAAACAGAACAGCAGGACCAGCAGGGGTGGAGGTGACAGGGTAAGTTTATCAATAAACATCACCCTAGGGTGCCTGGGTGCTCAGTCAGTTGAGCATCTGCGTTTGGCTCAGGTCATGATCCCGGGGGTCCTAGGATCCAGCCCCACACTGGGCTCCCTACTCAGCGAGGGAGGGGTGGGGGGGCTGCTTCTCCTTCTCCCTCTGTGTTCTCTCTCTCTCTCTCTTTCTCTCTCTCTCACTGTCTCACATAAGTAAATAGAATCTTTAAAAAAAAAAAAGAAGAAGAAGAAAAAAGTTTCTATCAATTATAAGCCACCCAGACTATGGTACTGTTTATAGCAGCCCAAACTGATTAGACAGTGGTGATAGACCAAGGCTTTTTTTCCTCTTATTAGTGTAACAAATTACTTTAATAGCTCTCTCAATCTTTATTTACTCAATATTTATTGAGCACCTACTCTGTGCTACAAATAAAATGGTGAATAACAGATACCACCCCTATCCTCATGGAGCTTCAAGTGTTATGGGGAAGAGAGGCAGTGAACCAATGCACAAATGTGCTGCCACCAACTATAGTAAGTGCGGTAAGGGAGAAGTGCAGGATGCCTTAAGTAAGAGGAGAACAGGGAAATCTGATCTAGTCTGGGAGTCAGAAAATGTCTCCCTGAGGAATCAACTTTGGGAATGAGATTTAAAGGATAAGCAGGAGCCACTAATGCAGAAGAGTCTTAATTAGAGGTGCCCACTAACAGATTCAGGAGTTCTGTAAACTTGGTGAGGAAAAAAAATTCTATCTTCATTTTCACTAACTTCCAGCTGAAATTCAGTTTATCTTTATATTATAAATGTAGACAATAAACCCCAGTAGAATTACCAGTACCTGTGACTTGGACCAATAAAAACCAGGATATTATTTGCATTGTATTAGACCTGCTGCATGTATCACAAAATCGTGCTTATGCTCATCACGGCTTGGGAAGCAATTAGACCTGCCTCTAGATCTTCTTGTTTAATGCATTCGTAAAGAAGCACATAGTACAAAATCAGAAATTTGCCTTTCTTAATGTTTTCGTTATATGTCAAAATAAGTGACTTTCTTCGTAATCCTACAGATTTTCCTTCGTGTATTTAAAAGCTCTCATAGAAAATTAAATTAATTAATTAATTAAAAGCGCTCGTAGCTTCGAGACTGTGAAACCAGTCTCACATGGCCATCCTGGGGCCATGGTGATAGGGGGGTTAAAAAAATATTCCAGAAGAACAGTCGGCACAGAGCTCTGAGGAAGAAAGTAACATAGACAGATTTATAGGACTTGGTGACTGACCGGATTGGGAGTAGGAAGTAGGAAGAAGGCAATTCCTATGACTGATTTGCTCAAGTTAAAAACCAGTGACTCGAGACCCTGTGAAAGGGAGCACGAATGGAAGAGCAACATCTCGGGGCCAGAGGAGAACAGTAAGATTCCATCGAAGCGGGGTGAATCTGAGGTTCCTTCAAGACAATGAGGTGAGACCATCAAGAGGACAGACAGATGGGTCTGCAGCTGTGAGGGCAGGCCTGGGCTGGCAACTGAGGTCTGGGGGTCACACAGCTCACAGACCACCACAAACCAGAAGCACAGACATACTGCCCAGGAAAGGAACACAGAAAGAGAAGAAAAAGAGGAGCCTTCACGCCAAAATCCGTATTGAAGAAAAGCTAATACTGAAAGGCTAAGGAAAAGAAAAGAGCTGGTAGGAAAGACGGAGCACAGCTAGAGGCCGATTTTACTGGCATTTTCGAACATCTTCTCAGAATATTTTCACACTCTTTTCCCATTTCCCCATTCTTTACATTTCTACTTTGATCATTAGATTATTTTCCAAATTTCTCTTGGGCTTATTGTTTTTTGTCTTTGAAGCTTCTGGACCTCTAATAATAAAAACCTTTAGTCTGCCATTTTTCCTCCGAGTTCAGCCTTCAACACATTCTGAAAGTTTCGATCATTGACACTAACTTATAAACAATCTGTATTTATAGTCTGTTTCCTGTTTAAGCCAAGAGCTTTCACCAGGTTGGCTTTAATTTGTAATTCGGATTTTAAAACCCTTTTTTTTTTAAGATTTTATTTATTTGAGAGAGCACAGAGATCGAGAGAGAGAGAATGAGTAGGGGGAGGGGCACCTGGTCATTTCATTCAGATCCTTTAGACCTTATTTTTTTGTCGCTTTGATGTGTTAGACTCCTGTCACAATAATTTTCCCCACCTCCCTCTAGAGCTTCTAACAGTTTCTCTCTACATACACAGAGTGAAGGAATGTCACTCTGTGAATGGTCCTCACTGTGACTCATAAGATGAGCTTCTCTGTTCCCCTAAGTGCTGTCTTACTCTCTATTTAGTCTGATCATATTACAAATACCAGGTTTCTTTTTGTTTCAGTTGGGCTGATTATGATTACTATCTTTGCGTCCTTTTACTTTTTCTAATGCCACCATTTTAGTTGGATCCTTCGGTTGGAACTTTTGATTTCTGACCCAATCTTCAAATTTTTGTCTCTTAAAGAGAGTTTAATCATATTACATTTAGTGTTATAACTAATTTGCTACTACCTCCATCACCTTGCACTCTGCCTTGTGACATTTAAGCTTTGCTTTCCTTCTCTTACTATGTGAACTATGCTTTAGTTGCTCCTAGCCTCTCCAACACTGTAGAAGATACACAACTTATTTTAAATTTTATTAAGTTACTATTAAAATTCTAAAACCATTAGTTAACCTTTTTTAGTGTCAGAAAAGGAATAAAACAAAAACCCCATAGAGGCTATTACATTTAAAATTGCTTTAATAATCTTTTATTTGCCTCTTATTTTTATTAATAAGTTAAAATTAAAAAATTAAAAATTAATCTCCTTTTGCCAAGTGCACTGAGGTTTATAAAGATCGTGATGCATCTCTGTTCTAACAAGTTTCCCAACCGGGCCACCCCCTTCTACCAAGTCCATTTAATAATTTCCCTATTCTTGACTTCTTAATTTTACATCGTATCTCAATGGTTTGGATATCTATAAGTAATTCTGCCACAGATAAAAGTGATATTTTTAAAGCCCCTGTTTAAAAAAAAAAAAAAAAGAAAGAAAGAAAGAAAGAAAGAAGTTTATCAGAAAATATATTTTTGGGCAATGTTTTTTTAAAACTCTAAGCCCAGAAGGATTTAATTTATTTATAAACATTGGGAAATGACCAGGAAGAACTGACCAAAGGCCTAGTTCTCTTTGGCTAAACAGAGATTACATGAAAACAAAAAGAAACATTCCTCAAAACAAAATTGTGACTGGGATACAGTAAACACTGCAGAGCATAAAGCAACAGAAGAAATTCAAAGAAAGACAAGCCAAAGACAGCACAAAAGAAAAGCCTACATAAAAGAGACCTTTATAATCCTCATTCTCAGCATTTCGCAGTGTGTGGAAGCTGGCCAGCACCAAGCCAGCCACTTTCAGTGTCTGTAAGAATCCAGAGGTCTAAAAATGGTGGATCTGCAGACTGTGAATATTGTAACATCTTCCTGGTTTTTGAATCAATATACATCTCTCTGAAATCCCAAAATTAGCTTTTGGTTCTTTTTTTTTTTTTTGGTATTGTTACCTTTGATTTTTTTTTTCCTCACCATTTTACTAGGAAAATTTCAAGATACACAGAAAAGTCAACTTTTACAGTTACCACCCACTTAGCTACCACTAGAGTTTACATTTAATATTTAATATTAATATAGTTACTTTATCCTATGTTATATGTCCATCTACCCAAGTACCTGTCTATTCATCTATCTCTCCACCTATCACTGCATTTGAGTGTAAAGCCACTTACTCCCTCCTATCCCTTACAACAGTTTCTGAACCTCAGCACTATTGACATTTTGGGCCAGGTGATTAAGCAAAACAGGAGGTATGAATGAGAAGCAGTATCTTCCCCGGCTGCTTATCACATTTTGTCTGTTTGATTTTACAGCTGATGTAGGCTGACATAAGGCAGAGACAAATCAGTAGTATAACAACCTACATGTGATCTAATGATATTAACACGATGAGGGCTGACATAGGTAACAAAAAGAAACTAATCTAACACAAATCCAAACTGCTAAGAGTCATTTTTTTTCACTTTTTACGTATCATTCAATCTCATATTAAATACAATGTTAAAATAAAAATGATTAAACCTACCTTGACTGCCCAAAAGTCACATGACAACAACAAGATAATTGTCACCATACAGGCAATAAAGCTGCTGCTGAACAATTCACAGAGAAGATAGACTACAATTGCACTGACTCGAAAGAATAAATGGAAAAATGATGCCACTGGATGTCTGAAAACCAAAACAAAATAAAAGAAATGCAATTACATTTCACCACAGGTACTGCAGACGGAGATGAATGTTTCAGCCATAACATAACCATGCAGTTTTGTCAAAGCAAAAGAAATGACTTGAGGAAGAAGCAAACCGCCTACCTCTCTTAATTTCCTAAATCCCATTATTTGACTAGACCCTGTTGTCACAGAAAATACACTATGGAAACAGGACTTTAATACCTCACTGAATATAAGCTTTCACAAAATATATAATGAGAAACTTTGCCGATCTTGGAGAATTAAGAAAACTATACTCTTAGGATTAAAATCCTATCTTCACATAAAAAACTCATTCTGGAGCACCTGGCTAGCTCAGTCAGAAGTGTGTGTGACTCTTGATCTTGGGGTCTTGAGGCAGAGAGATTACTTAAAAAAATTAAAAATAAAAGAATTCCTGGGTCCTCAGGAAATCACTTCAGGCTTTAAGGCAAAGTAACTATCAGGGAGACCTGTTTTTAACAGCTTTATTGAGATATAATCCACATACCATACAATTCATCTATCTAAAGTGTATATCCCAATGTTTTTTTGGTATAATCACAGAACTGTGCAATCATCACCACAATCACTCTCAGAACTTTTTCATTCCCCAAAAGAAACTGTGTCCCCACTGGCAGTCCCTCCTCACCGACCCCAACCCCAACCCCACCCCATCCAGTCATAAGGCACCACTAATATATTGCTGCCTCTACACATTGGCCAATTCTGGACATTTCACATAGATGAAATCATACATTATGTGGTCTTTTATGACTGGCATCTCTCACTTAGCATAACATTTTCAAAGGTCAGGTAGACTTTGACTGTAGTTAGCAAATTTCTTTAGAGGGAACTAAATTTGGAATAGAAATATGTTTGGCTTGACATGTTCATGTTATTTTATTGATAAAACACATGATTTTGAAATTTACATAGCAAACCAAACTGGAATGGGTCTACAGAAACTAAAGAAATGGTGCGTTCTTGGTAAACAGGAGCTAGAAGTAAAAACACCAATGATCACAAAATCAGATTCACAGATGTGAAAACTCAGCAATGAGTAAAATTCCATATGCCAGTTATTCCCAAAGCAAATCTAAAAGGTCCTCTTTGTCTCAGATCAAAGCTCAAACTAGTGATGTCCACTATTCACAAGGACATAACAAGCGTTCTGCCTCAAATCCCATCGGCTGGTGCCCATCTACAGACAGAACAGCACTGGGCACTCACACAACTCTTACACCTCCTACCTGATCTTGGATTTTTTTGGTCTGTTACTCGTCTCCTCTTCCGCATCAAACAGGGAAACATCCTCGGTGTCGTCATTACTGTCCTAGCAGGAAAATTAAATCTCCATGAAGTAAGGTGAAATTCAGTACCCACGTGCCTCCCACAAAGAAGGCAGCACGCCAAAAAAAAAAAAAAGGAGGCAGCACGCCAGTCCAAATGGAAGACAAGAGTAAGACACTGTCACGGACATCAGGGAGTTCACAACCTACAGAAAGGGCACCCCAGGATCATGTGGCAACGAGCCATCGCTCCCCGCTGCTGAGCCCTATGAGAAAACCCAGGGGTGCCAATGATGCTCCTGCAAACTTCCCACGTGCGCTCTCAGCTGCTCTCTCCCCAGCCACAGCGAAAGCAGAGACCATCGGGGACACATTCGATGCTTTTGGCCCCTACTTATCTTCTGACTGTCCCTCCCACTGAGTAATGCAGCAGCACCACTGCCACATGTTCTCTGAAAACACCATGGTCTCCCATCTGTCTCCCTTTCTCATGTGTTCTCCACCCAGAAAACTCTTCCTGTCTCCATCCTCTACATAGCTCACCATTAGGCAACACCAGATCTCTAATTTCAGCTAAAATACTGAAAGAACTAAGAAAATTTCACTGAAATCCCCAGGCTTCCCATTTCCCATGTTCCCACAGCACCAGGACAAATGCTCACCTGCACAACCATCTCAAGGTACCTGCAGGTCTCCAATGACTACCTCCATCTAGACTCTATGCTACAGGAGGGCAGGGAGTGTCACTCCTCGTGCACTGCATTGTAGTAAGTCCTAGTGTCCAGCAGAGCACCCTGCCAGGTGGTACAGTATTTATTGAAGGCAACAGCAAATGCACAAAGGAGGTGACTGCAAACTACGATCAGAGACAAGAGAAATACAAGTGCAAATGAGAGCAGGGGAAGGAAGAAGCTCATTTCTGTTAGTTCTGGAAGAGGGCTTCTGTGCTGGGCACTGACAGAGCAAGGGGGCCTCCTGTTCACACCAGTCCCTTGACTGGTGTATTTTCAAAAGCAGAAAGTAGAAATACACAGGTATCTATAGGGAATGGCCAAGAAGTCCACATGGTAAGTGAACAGTGAGAGAAGCAGAACAAGAGCTAAAGCTTTAAAAGGAAAATGGGGGATCCCTGGGTGGCGCAGGGGTTTGGCGCCTGCCTTTGGCCCAGGGCGCGATCCTGGAGACTCGGGATCGAGTCCCATGTCGGGCTCCCGGGGCATGGGCCTGCTTCTCCCTCTGCCTGCGTCTCTGCCTCACTCTCTCTCTCTCTATCATAAATAAATAAAAATTTAAAAAAAAAAAAGGAAAATGGTCTCAGAGATCGGAGACCAGTAGTTCTCAACCTTGGTTTATAGGCTGGAATTGCCTGAGGTGCTTTTAAAAAGGAAACAAAACAAAACAACAAACAAACCCTGATGTTTGGGTCCCCGCCCCAAGGTTCAGATGTAATTGGTCTGGGGAGTGGTCTGGGCATCTGGATTTTTTTAAACTCCCCTCCCCAAGATGATAAAAATGTGCAGCCAAGACTGAGATCCACTGTATGATGCTATGGATTGAGACTTCCGCCCTTGATCAAAACAGTCCAATCTACATCCAGCATCCAGGGTGACCTTTCACACTTAGATCATATCAACCTCCTGACAACCTAGAGGACTTTGAAAAACTGACTCCCGGGATCCCTGGGTGGCGCAGCGGTTTGGCGCCTGTCTTTGGCCCAGGGCGGGATCCTGGAGACCCGGGATCGAATCCCACGTCGGGCTCCCAGTGCATGGAGCCTGCTTCTCCCTCTGCCTGTGTCTCTGCCTCTCTCTCTCTCTCTCTGTGACTATCATAAATTAAAAAAAAAAAAAAAAAGAAAAACTGACTCCCTATCAGGACCCATGGTGACCTAGCCCCGCCCACTTCTAAGACCTTATCTCCGGACACCCCCTTCATGATCTGTGATGCACTGAATAATGCTTCCTCTCCCTCCTGCCAAAGACACCCTGGTTCTAATGCCTGGAATTCATAAATATGTCAATTTACTTAGCAAAAAGATTTTTTGCAGATGTGACTGAATTAAGGATCTTGAGAGGGGAAGTGGAGCCTAGATTTTACAGGTGGGCCCAACGATGTAATTACAATGGTCTTTACAGAGGAACAGAGGAGGGTCAGAGTCAGAGAGGGTACTGAGACCATGAAATGCAGAAGTCAGAGAGATTTGAAGATGGAAGAAGACCACTAGCCAGGAATGCAAGTAGCCTCTAGAAGCTAGAAACAGCAAGGACAAATCTAAGATTCTCTCCTAGAGCCTCCAGAAGGAACACAGCCCAGCCAATACCTTCAGGTTAGCCAGCCCTCAGGACTCATTTTGGACTTCTGACCCAGAACTGTAACATGATAAATCTGAATTAAGCCACTAAATTTATGATAATCTGCAGCAACAGGAAACCTATAGAATAACTATGCCCATGCCAGACTGTCTTCTTTTTAATTCCTTGAACATGCCAAATTTGCACCCCACTGGGTCCTTTTACATTTGTTCTATCTAGTTCTTCCTAGAACACTCTTTTCTCTTACCCTGTTCTTTGTAAAACTGGCTTATTAAATAAATACCAAGCGCCAAGCACTGTTTTTAAGTGGTACACCCTGTAATAAGAAAAAAGACAAATAGTTCTGCACTTTTGGAGCTGCCTTTACCAAGATGGGGAAGGCTGTGGGCACAACATCAGAGTGAAATTAAGAGTTTTGGACTTTAAGCTGAAGATTCTGATATTAAGAACTTAAAAAAAATTGAGAAGAGGAACCATTAGCATGCCCTGCGCACAGGACTATCACGTTCCAATTTAGGTGTTAAAAGGAAAATTCTGGGGCAGCCCCGGTGGTGTAGCAGTTTAGCACCGCCTTCAGCCCAGGGCGTGATCCTGGAGACCTGGAATCGAGTCCCACGTCGGGCTTCCTGCATGGAGCTTGCTTCTCCCTCTGCCTGTGTGTCCCTGCCTATGTCTCTCTGAATAAATTAAAAAAAAAATTTTAAAAAGGAAAATTCTGGCTACTGTATGGAGACTCTGGGAGGGAGAGGGAAAGACAAAGACACAAAGCTATGAGGCTGGTTTAGGATTCTAATCCTAATAACGGAGTCAAGAGGTAATGGGTTGCTCTAGGGTGGATGCATTGGAGGCGGTGAAATGAGGTGGACACCTGGGTGGCTCAGTCCATTAAGCCTTCAGCTCTGGTCGTGATCCCAAGATCGGGCCTTGAGCAGGCAGCCTGCTTCTCCCTCTCCCTCCGCCCGCCTTTCTCCCTGCTTGTGCTCTCTCCCTGTCAAACAAATAATAAAATCTTAAATTTAAAAAAAAAAATGGGAATAGTCAGCATGGTTGTGTTTTTCTTCAGCCTGGGTACACGTTCTGAAAGCGGAATCTAACCATCATTGGAGGGACGTCTGGGTGGCTCCGAAGCTGAGCATCTCCCTTCAAATCAGGGCGTGACCCCGGAGGTCCCGGGATCGAGTCCCAGGTCGGGTTCCCTGCGTGGAGCCTGCTTCTCCCTCTGCCTGTATCTCTGCCTCTCTGTGTCTCTCATGAATAAATAATTAAAAATCCTTAAAAAAATAATAATAACCATCATTGGATCTTCTCCACTCAAGCGACCTCCTCAGAGTGGTCTTTTCTGACCATAAATTCTAAGGTGGTCCTGTTTCTCTGATACTTGCCACATCACTGTGTGTTTGCCCTCATTACCTGAAAACCTCCTCAGCTATGTGACTTATTCTCTCCTCCCACCCCCGGCACCATAAGCCTGTCTGTACTGTTCACAGCCCTATCCCAGGGCCCAGAACAGGGAGTGCCAGGCCCATAGTAATCCCTCAGTAAGAAAAAAATACCTACATTTTTGAGTGAAAGTGCACTAGAAGCAACAAAAAAGTTTCTAGCATGGGAAGAGATTATTAAATGATTCTTACTCATCTGGTCGCAAACGGCAACTAACTCTTAGGGGCACAGATGCGATCACCAAAGTGGACCAAAGTGGTAACAATCACCACTGGCGTCACTCCGGCAACGGACGCACGACGGCGAGGCCCTGGCGGTGCCTCCTCCTCGCACAGGACCGCGGAGCAGCCGTCGGAGTCCCGGAACGGCTGGGGAAAGCCGGACCACCCGCAACTTCACACCTGAGGGCGTCCCCGCAGCCCGGCACCCGCGCCGCCCAGCGCCCCGCGTCGGCGGCCACGGCGCTTCTGCACAGGCGCAGCCGGGCCACCCTCCTCCACCAGAGGCCTCGGGGCTCCCGACCGCGCTCCCGGACACGCGCCCGCGGCCCTCGACCCCCCGCGGCCCCCACCCCCAGGCTGGGGCTGCAAGCGGGGCTGCAAGCTCAAGGGCCCGGGGCCCCACACTGGCGCCCCTCGGACCCGGCAGGCCCGGCGCCCAGCCACACCCACACCCACACCCACACCCACACCCGCCCTCCAGGAGCGCCCGCAGCCCCTCACCTGCTGCAACATGACGGCCCTGCGCCAGCCCCACTTCCGGGAGCCACGTCAGCCCCGCAGCTGACGCGACGCGGTCGCCACGGGAGGGGCGGGACAAAGTACGAGCGCAGCCCGTTCCCACTTCCGCTTCCAGGTGTTTCCCAAGGGGCGTGACTGCGAGGGCGGGGCGAGCACGTGGGCGGGGCATCCGGGGCGGAGCGCGAGGCCGGTTGGGGGTCTCGGGGGCGGGGCGAGTGTGGGGGCGGGGCGAGCTGGGGCGGAGCGCGAGGTGGCGGGCGGCGGGGGTCTGGGCGAGCGCAGGGAGAGACTCGGCTCGGGTTAGCCGGCGGCGAAGCGAGGACTGAGCGGGGGCGGAGTGCTGGTCCCAGCGGAGCGAAAGACCCTGGCGAGAGCATCCCCGAGGCTCCGTCCGTGACCTGAGAGCAAGGGGCGTGGGGCCCTATTATTTCACAGTTGCGTTGTGTTTGAATGTTTTACAGCATGTGTTCATGTACTGTATGTGTACCCTGAATTGCAGAAGCAACTGAAAAAAGGTAAATGTGCTCCTGTAAAGAGGCGGGAAGGTGCTAAGAAGAAACGAGGTGGAGGGCTCTAAATGCAGGGAGGAAGACAGGCCAGGAAACAGTAAGGAACAGAGGTGGAGAGCGTGGGTTTGAGTCCCTGCATCTCCAGGTACTAGCTGCCCAGCTAGCTTCTACGTCCGCCGCTCCCCAGTTATAAAGTGGGGATGAAAACGGTGTCCCAGGGCCGCCCGGGTGGCGCGGCGGTTTAGCGCCGCCTTCAGTCCAGGGCGTGATCCTGGAGACCCGGGATCGAGTCCCCTGTCCATATTGGGCTCCCTGCTTCTCCCTCTGCCTGTGTCTCTCATGAATAAATAAGCAAAATCTTTAAAAAGAAAAGAAAAGAAAATGGTATCCCAGTAGGGTAAGCGTGCTTAGTAAATGGAATTCTTATTACTGCTTTTAAGTTTAATCGCTGGAGGTATCATTTCACTACGTGAAGGACCTGAAATTCAAGGACTTTACATCATCTCTGACACTGTGATTATAATAGTGTGATTGTAACAATAGCCTATCTGCCCAGCCTACATCAAAGTGCTGTTGGGAGACTCATGGAATTAACACATTTCCTTTATGGAGGGGATCCCTTCCACAGAAATCACAATTTTTACATGGCTATTTATTAGTGCTGCGTTAATTTACTTGAGAGTGAGCAGGGAGGAAGAGAGAGAGAAACTGAAGCTGATGCCACAGTGAGCACAGAGCCAACTCAGGGCTTCATCCCAGGACTCTGAGATCATGACCTGAGCTGAAATCAAGAGCTGGTTGCTTACTGGACTGAGCCACCCAAGCACCCCTGCATTCCATCTGAATCTATTACTTGCTATGTCAAAAAACCTTGGTTCAGTCTACCTGCTGTGCAGGCAAAAGCCCAATTCTTCCCTACTGTGTTTTTCCACTATCTCCTTTACTCCTCCCATAAAGCACTTCTCTTCTGGTCACTAGATGTGTGGAAGTTTCTTCCCCACGCCAAGCAATTTTCTGGAACACCAGCTGGGTGTCCTACAATTCAATTCAATTCTGAAAGTATCTATCAGGAGATAGAAGCCAGATCCCACAGGTTATAGGCTCAGTCCCAGAAGACCCTCACACACATGTGTTTGCACTCTCTCACACACACACTCTTCAGATGCCACTTGGAGGCCCAGTTTCTCACCTGGGCTTCTGACCAACTGGCTATAGATCAAAGGTTCCAATGACCTCCTTCTTAAGTTCAATTAATTTGCTAGAGGGGCTCACAGAACTCAGGGAAACATTTACTTACCTTTATTAAAAGACACAGATGAACAACCAAATAAAGACATACAGGGCGGGGCAGCCTCGGTGGCTCAGCGGTTTAGCGCTGCCTTCAGCCCAGGGCGTGATCCTGGAAACCTAGGATTGAGTCCCACTTCAGGCTCCCTGCATGGAGCCTGTTTCTCCCTCTGCCTGTGTCTCTGCCTCTCTCTCTCTCTCTCTCTCTCTCTCTCTCTCTCTCTCTCTCTCTCTCTCTGTCTCTCATACATAAATAAATAAAAATCTTTAAAAAAAAAGACATATAGGGCAAGGTCTGAGAGAGTCTGTGGAGTTGGGGTGTGTCACCTTCCCCATGTGTTCACCAACCTGGAAACTCTCTGAGCCCCATGCTATTGAGATTTTTATGCCGGCTTCATCACAGTAGGTATCATGGATCATGAACTCCATTTCCAGCCACTCTCTCCTCTCTGAAGGATGGGGTGGGGGTGGGGGCTAAAATCTCTAACCTTCTAATCCTGACTTGGTCTTTCCGGTGACCAGCCCCCATCCAGGAGCCATCCAGGAGCTCACTCTGAGTCCCCTCATTAGAACAAAAGATGCTGGGATCCCTGGGTGGTGCAGTGGTTTAGCGCCTGCCTTTGGCCCAGGGCACGATCCTGGAGACCCAGGATCAAATCCCACGTCGGGTTCCTGGTGCATGGAGCCTGCTTCTCCCTCTGCCTGTGTCTCTGCCTCTGTGTGTGTGTGTGTGACTATCATAAATTTAAAAAAAATAAAAATAAATAAACAGCTGCATTCTTAAAAAAAAAAAAAGAACAAAAGATGCTCCTAGTGCTCATATCAGTTAGGAATTTATAAGGGTTTCAGAAGCTCTGTGCCAGGAACTGGGGGCAGAGACCAATATATATTTTCCATTATTTCACACCATACTGTGGTCATGCTGAGCCACCAAGGAGAAGCCATCCCTTTGGATAGGGCTTGAGCTCTCCAATGGGCCATAACTCCCATAGTGTACTACATTTTTTTTTTTTAATTACTTGCCTGGTCCCTGACATCATCCTTGGAAGGTCTAGGTGGAAACATCAACACATTTGATATGAGTGTCCTTCTTTGAAGAAAAGACAAATATGCTTAATTCTGTTCCACAGGAGTTAGCCCTGAGAAAGAAAAGAATACAAAATGTTCTCAAATGCAATAGGTCGCCCTACTAAGGGCCTCTCCTTTTAGATTAACTGGACTCATTGAGCTTCATCAGGCTTCAGTGCAAAAATACCAGGGAATTCCAATGCATTATTCCGATACAGTACTATCAGTTCATTTGCTATCAGAATAATAGCACTAAATTGGTGGTGAAGAGTGGTATTTAATTTTCCAATGATCACTTTCCCATCTCCCACCAGTGATGTTGGGCTTTCATAAGTTTCATTAAATGGTTTTCAGTGGGAACACAGATGGCAATCTCTCCCAGTAACCCCACCCCACCCCCATTTTCTTGATGATAATATCAGTTCTTTGGTTCTTAGGAAGATACTTAAGACTACCCACATTGCCAAGGTATAGTCCAAAACAAACAAACAAGCAAGTAAAACAAAAGGCCAAACACCAACATCCACTTGGTTCTCTGTTTATTTTAAGATGTTCATTTCCCAAGGCTGGTTCAGATAAACATGTTTTGTCCAAGTTCAGGGGCTGCTGTTTTCCCTCGCTTCATGAAATTATCGATAGGTAGCCCTTTGATTTTCCTGATCCATGCAGCTTTGCTGGCTTTTTCTGGATTGACCACTCCACTGGGCTCTCTGGCCTGATACTCCTTCATCTTGGCTTCCCCATACTCTTTCTCCTCCTTTACCGTCAACAACATGAACTCAGTGTTCATTCTAAAGGGATCAAGGGTCTTGTAGAAGCGAGGTCGTTCTTTCTTGACAGACTTGGTTGTCATGCCCATTGGTGGAGCCAGCATGCGGTTGGGTTTAATAACCTGCAGGCTGGTTAATGGGCTGAAGTTGCGCACGGTCCCATCGATGGAGCTGGTCGCCTGGTCTTCACCCCTGAGGCTGCTCTTGAATCTGGGGCGGATAATCACAGGCTGGGGTATGGTGGACTGGACCCTGGGACTGTGCAAAGAGTTCTTCAGGTTGGGCTGCAGTTTCTGGATCTCAAGGGGAATATTGGTTTGTTTCACATTGATGGGAGGGTGGTTCCACCTCAACCTATCGACTGCGTGTTGGACTGATTTTCCTTTGAAACTCAGGACCTTCCTTGGATGGGAAATTGAAGGTCCCCAGGCATCAATGACTTGGGTTTGGGGCCTCTGGGGATAGGCAAACTCCCCTGAATTATGAGCCTGCTGCAGGGCATTAACTGTCAGAAGGAACTGATCTGGCGACATAGGGATTTGCCAGTGCTTTTTCTTTGAACGCCTGATCAAGTCTCCAGGAGTTTCGAGTTGTCCTTCTTTTTGTACTTTTTCCCCATCCTCTAGTTTTTCAGAAAGAGAAAACAAAAGCAAGTCAGAGTGTTCCATGAAAACCAGTAAGTAGTTATGCATGAAAGTTAAACCCATTCTAATGGCTGTGCAAACTGAGGTCTTTGTTATCCAATGGCCATGCCAAGATGTGGACAAAAATCCTCTGTGACACTGGAAATGATGACATATTCAACACAACAAGTGTTTAATAAATCTCCTAGAACCTGAGGACAAGTGTGTATTAAATTCTAGATATGCATGTTTTGGAGGTAAGGGATATAATCCCAGTGTTTCACACATTTTGAAACCTCCCTGTAGGAGGGAGCTTCACCCCTCTTTTATGATTCACAGAAAATAGGCCTTCTAAATTTACAGTAATGAGGGATGCCTGGATGGCTCAATGGTTGAGCATCTGCCTTCGGCTCAGGGCCTGATCCCACGGACCTGGGATCAAGCCTGCATCAGGTTCCCTGCTCAATGGGGAGCCTGCTTCTCCCTCTGTCCATGTCTCTGCCTCTCTCTCTGTGTCTCTCATGAATAAATAAATATTTTAAAAACATAAAATAAAAAATAAATTTATAGTAATGAATCTCTAAACAAAAATTGTATCATAAAGTTTGATCTCCGTCTTATTGATTACTAATCAAACTTGATTCTAAATGATCTTTGGGCATTTCCAAAACCAAAACAGCCTCCAAAATATATATCACCCTTAGGAAATGCAAAATATCACAACATAACCAAAAAGTGCAATTTCTGAAAAGGAGTTCCTAAAATGTTTTTGAGTAATAGCAGCAGTTCCAAAAGCCACTTGACATGAACAAGAGATTCACTCTAGCATACTACATACAATCA